ATTAGATAAGATTATGTATAACAGGATATTGTAAAAAATAGGTTACAAAATTTTTATTAAAATGTTTCTTACATACTGTTATATTGGCTGGGCCACAAAAATATTCATTGTGGGCCACATGTGGCAGCCCATGGGCCTCGAGTTTGACATGCTTATTCTAGACCCACAATCACTGAGAGCCTCCTGCAGTGTGCTGCAGCCACAGATGTCCTGCAGCGCGTCCCCGGATGTGGTGGGTAGCTAGGCCCAGTGCAGACCTGTCACAGATGCCTTTTCCCTACTTTGCTTGGCACAGTGTGCAGAGAAGAAACCTGAAGCTTGCGGCCCCGAACCAGAGCCCTGTGCAGAGCTCCACGTGGAGGCGCTGGAGACGCTGACGCGGGCTGCCTCAGCAGGCCCTGAGGGTGGAGGTGTCCGCTCCGAACAGCCGTTCATTGTGCTGGGGCAGGAGGAGTACGGGGAGCACCACTCCTCCATCATGCACTGCAGGTGGGTTCAGGTGGAGGCGAGGCCCAGCTAGGGGAAGCTCTAGCCAGGTGGGACTGGTCTCCCTGGGAAGCTGTGCATGAAGGTGTAGCTGGCAGGAGGTCTGAAAGTGGGATTCCTGAAGGACCATTGTCACCCTCTGGGTGTGGGGTGTCCTGCTCAGAGCTGCTGTAGCCCTCGTCAGCCTCTCTGAACTTTCTAACCATGGGACTCCGAGTTTTAGGAACAGCTGCCTTTTATTTGAACTCCCTAAAGCTCATTCAATTTTAATTTGCTTTATGTTGGTAAATTTATTTATTTATTAAAGAAGATTTTTTATTGATTTCAGAAAGGACGGGAGAGGGAGAGAGAATCATTGATCAGCTGCCTCCTGCATGTCCCACACTGGGGATAGAGCCTGAAATCCAGGCATGTGCTCTGACCAGGAGTCGAACCGTGCATGGCCTCCTGGTTCACAGGTGGACGCTCAACCATGAGCCACACCTGCCAGCCTGTGTTGGTAATTTTAGATAAATACAGGGCAGGGCAAAAGTAGGTTTATATTTGTGAGCACTTGTGAACACAGAGTTTACTCCCCTGTTATTACTTATTGATTATTGTATTATTTTCCAACTGTAAGCCCACTTTTGCCCCACTGGGTACTTACCATTTATAAGTTTTTCTTGCACATGGTAAGAACATGACCTTTCATGAAGGGACCCTCCCAGATGTAATGTTCAGAGGGGAGGTGGGTCCCTTGTTCTGATGGGCCCCAGAGCCGAGTGCAGGAGGCTCTCCATCTCCATCCACCGAGCACCGAGGTCAAGGCCCAGTGTGTCCTGCCCACTGCTCTGCGCCCAGTGTTTACCCCAGGGCTCAGCACATAATGGGTGCTTCATAAGAAATTCTTGGACAAATGAATGAATGAATATTTCTAGAAATACTCCACTGGTCATTGGAGTGTAGGCATTTCAGGATTGTTTTTTAAAGCAGTCAGAACGTCAGAAAAGCAACCATCTGAACTAGCTGAAGAGGAGGATGGACTACGGCAAGGATGTTAACAGCTCCCCTCTCTTTTGTCTCAGAGTGGATTGCTCGGGGAGGAGGGTTGCCAGCTTAGACGTAGACGGGGTCATCAAAGTGTGGTCCTTCAACCCCATCATGCAGACCAAAGCGTCCTCCATTTCCAAGTCACCACTGCTGTCTTTGGAATGGGCCACCAAGCGGGACCGGCTGGTGAGTGAGATGCCTCATTGCTTGCTCTGCAGTCTGTGAAGAATTCCCCAGGGCTGTCCACCGGTGGTCAGGCACCACCCCCCATGGCGACCACACAGCCAGGACTGACCCTGTAGACTCCTGTTTGGGGTGGGCAAGGAGGTGACAGGATGAATGAGAATTGAAATGAGACTGCAGTGCAACCTGGAGAACATTCCCCAGTCAGACGGCCAGGGTGCCTCCCTCTGTGGTGGTCTGGCTCGCTGCTCTGTCTGGGGAGAGACTGGCTCACTTCCTGTTCTTCCCCATCAGTCCTGCAGCTGTCCAGATTCTAACAGCCCTCACAGACATTCTCTGCTACTCCCTGTGTTGGGCCCAGAGGAAGCGACTGAAGCTGGTGGGGGATGGTGCCCTACTTGGCAGTTCCCATGGGTCTGATTGCCTCCAGGAATAGTTCAGTGTTATTTTTTCCTTCTGGACTTTAATGTTTGAGATAGACTTTGTAGTTAAGGAGGTAAAGTTGATTTGTAATTTTTTCTTTTATTCCATTTTGAGGGGATCATAGCAGGCAACCCGAGGGGCAAGCCTCTTTTTTTAATAATTTTGACAACTGCAGGCATTTTGGTTATGGTACAAAGGCGTCAGGGCATACCCAGTGATAATTTGCCAAGTGATGTAGGTGATATTCCTGGGGATACCCTCAGACCTGCTTCTGGTGCTTTCTTCTGGTGGTACTCATTGTCTTTGAAGCTTTTCACCAAATAAAATGCAGGTTCCTGAAGGCAAGGATAGCTTCTTCTAATTTTTCTGGAGGCCTTTACTGGCTCAGAGCCAGAGCTGTCCCCAGACAAGCAAAGGGGGCCCAGGCGCCATGATCAGCCAGGGCGGCACCCACGGAGGTGGAGAAAGATTAGGAGGGAGAAGGAAGGGCTGGAAAGCTGGGATTTAAAATGGAAAGAAAAGGAGGAAAGAACAGAGGATCTCATTTAATCAGCCAGAACCTTCCCAGGTATGTCTGGGGTGATACATCTCTCCCATCCACAGATTCTTTCTGTGGTTTTACTGCTGTTGGAGGTCAGCTCTGATGTCTTTATTTAATTTTAATTTATGTATTTTAAATATATTTTCATTCATTTCAGAGACGAAGGAGAGGGAGAGAGATAGAAACATTAATGATAAGAAAGAATCACTGATCGGCTGCCTCCTGCAAACCCCCTCCTGGGGATTGAGCCCGAAACCCGGGCATGTGCCCTGACTGGGAATCAAACCATGATCTCCTGGTTCATAGATCGATGCTCAACCACAGAGCCACGCCGGTCAGGCTCTTTATTTAATTTTTAAATGAGATCCATTTTAGCCAGATATCACCTAAATTACCTGAATAGGTGGAAGGGACCCCGCCCCTGCAGCCTGCCCAGACCTCACAGGAGAGGGCCTGGGCCCCCACCACCACCCATGGTCCTGCCTGACCTGCCTGACCTCCTGTTCTTCACACCTCCCGCCCCTTCTCATTCCAGCTCTTGCTGGGCAGTGGTGTGGGGACAGTGCGCCTGTATGACACGGAAGCCAAGAAGAATCTCTGTGAAATCAACATCAACGATGACATGCCCAGGTGAGCTGGAGGCCGCTTCCCGCACTGTGCTCTGCGGCCTGGTCCTTTGCGGGGCCTTTTCCCCATCTCATCCTTCCGGTGGCCACGGGTGCTGACCCCGCCACATGGGAGTGCTGACCCCACCCCACGTGTGTTGCAGAATCCTGTCTCTCGCGTGCAGCCCCAACGGGGCCTCTTTCGTCTGTTCGGCCGCAGCTCCGAGCCTCGCTTCCCAGGTGGACTTCTCGGCACTGGACATCGGCAGCAAGGGCACGAACCATGTTCCTGGCAAGCTGCTGCTGTGGGACACGAAAACCATGAAGCAGCAGGTGCGGGCCGCTCCCGGGGGCCTCGGGCTGGCCACGCTCCAGGAGGGCACAGGGCCCCCGCTCCCTCCCTTCTGAGTCTCTCCCTCTCTTTGCTTTGGTCTTCTCAAACTTTGATTTGTGAGGAAACATCGAAGTGTAAGTGTTGAAGGGAGTAATGCTCCAGTGGGTAGGTTGCCAGCTGAAGAAACTCAGAATTGTGCCACACGTTCACGAGCCACACCGCCTCCGAGAGGGCCCCTGTGGCTTTGTTTAAGTTTGTTTTATATTTAAAGACTTTATTTTTGAGCAGTTTAAGGTTCATGGCAAAATTGAGAGGAAGGCACAGATTTCCGTCCACCCTCTTCCCCTCCTGTCTGCATCCCACCACAGCGTGCACTTGTTACACTCGCTGAGCCCATATTGGCCGCCATCACCCAGGGTCCCCCACTTACTGCAGGGTTCAGTGTTAGTCCACTACATTCTGTGGGTTTGACAAATAGGGAATGACATGCATCCACCATCACACGGGGTATTTTCACTGCTCGAAATCCTCTGTACTCCACCTGCCTTCCCCTATTCCCCCCTCCCCCCAACGTGGCCCTAGAGAGAGTAAATGATACGTAAACTCTCCTGTTTAAAGGACAGCAATGCTTCTTATTAGAATTAGTTTTGGTGCTCAGAAGTGGTGTGGCCTTTCTGTTGAAGTTTCCTGATGTTACTGGACCCTTGAAGAGCCCCTGTCTTACAGGTGGCTGTGTTCCAGGTGTTCAGTTTCTGTCTTTTTTTTTTTAAAAATATATTTTATTGACTTTTTACAGAGAGGAAGGGAGAGGGATAGAGAGCTAGAAACATCAATGAGAGAGAAACATCGATCAGCTGCCTCCTGCACACTTCCCACTGGGGATGTGCCCGCAACCAAGGTACATGCCCTTGACCGGAATCAAACCTGGGACCCTTGAGTCCGCAGGCTGACGCTCTACCCACTGAGCCAAACTGGTTAGGGCTCAGTTTGTGTCTTACTGCATCGTCTGTGAGGGAGTATATATTCCCACGTGGAGGTCTCCGGGTGTCAGGGCCACACATGAATTCTTGAACATGAGGCCCTGCCTGTCTCCTCCTCCTCCAGTTTCCTCATCTAGGCACATGCGTCTCACTTAGAAACGGGGTGCCTTTCTGGGCCCGTCCTCCCTCACCCTACACCAGGGGAGGGGCCATATCAGGCCCTCAAAATCATTTGGTCTAGCTCTATCTACCATCACAGCGTAAGGATGGACCATCACCAGTACTTTTATGTTCTCGTGTGCTTCTCCCTAATCTTGGTCTCCTGTCCCCTTTCAGACAGAACTTGTCTTGAATTTTGTTTATTATTCTCTGACATTTTAAAATTTAGTTTGTTTTCTCCAGCTCCAGTTCTCCCTGGATCCGGGGCCCATTGCTATCAACTGCACAGCCTTCAATCACAACGGGAACCTGCTGGTCACAGGGGCGGCGGATGGTGTCATCCGGCTGTTTGGTAAGCAGTCATGCTCGTGGCAGCCCGGGTCCCTCCGTCAACGTCCTGGGGAGAGAGTTGGATTTTTGCCAGCTGGACCAAAAGCAAAACCCCAGTTCAGCGTGCTCGTAACAGAACTTAGCTGTGGTCAGAATCTGCTGTCTTCAGAACCTCTGTAGTCACCTTGCACATGGTCCGTGTCATGGACACAGGAGGGAGGGGGGGAGCTTAGCAGTCCTTCCCTCGTGAGGTGTTCTGGCTGAGTCCTCGTGGCCTGAGTGAGACCCAGGAGGACCCTCGAGAGTAATGCCGTCCTGTCCTCTCGGTGTGGCTAGTTCCCCGTCCCCGTTAAGCGTTAGAACAGTGTGCATCGGAACCACCGGCAGCTGCTTAAAGATCCCCAGCCAGCCTGTCCCAGGAGGCCCGGAGTCGGAGGGCCGGGGTGGGGCAGGCACTGTGTCCGCAGCAGATCCCCTGGGGCGAAGTTCCAGAGGCCTCCTAGGAACATGTGTGTCCGCCCAGACTTACATGGGCTCCTCCCAGGGATTCTTGAACCTCACTCTAGCCCCCACGGAAGAAGCTTCTATCTGAGGGTTAAATAGAAGATTAGATGCAGTGGAGGAGAGAATTAGCAAACTGAAGCGGCCCATGACCCTTCCTCGGCAGGGCTCAGCTCGGGGCAGGGGAGGCCCTCTGCCTCAGAGCAGCTCCCCAAACTGGGCAGAAGGTGGGAGGTGTCTCCTGCCGTGGGCCAGTGCCTCCCCGGGGCCTGGGCAGGAATCTTAGCCTCGTCTCCGTCTCTTTGCCCCAGACATGCAGCAGCATGAGTGCGCCATGAGCTGGAAGGCCCACTGCGGGGAGGTGTGCTCCGTGGAGTTCAGCTATGACGAGAACACCGTGTACAGCATCGGCGAGGACGGGAAGGTAGGCGGGTGCAGGAACTTCCCTTCCCTGGCTTAGGCCTCTGGGAGCCTAGAGAGCACCAGAATAGCAGGGTGGGCTGGGTTTAGGTTCTGACCACACCTTTCACTCGCTGGGCCTCTCCCTGCCTCAGTGTTGTCATCTGTAGACTAGGGATGATAATAGTAACCAGTCTCACCAGATCTTTGTGAGGCTTCGAGTTCAGTGGGAGCTGCCATTCTTACGAAAGGGGGACCCATATCCTCCCTCCTGGTTGTAGCAGGTGAGGATGAACTGCATCCCACTGTACATGGAGCAGTGGGGTCCGGATTTGGGGCGGGATGTGCCCCGTGAGCATGGATGGGTAGAGTTTGCCAGGGGTCGGAGCAGCTTCCCAGAAGCAGTGAGCAGAATCAAGAAATGTAAAAGGCAGGTGGGAAAAAAGTAAAAACAGGTGCCCTTTGTGGATTCTCTCTGGAAAGATAGGTGAGGACCCATGGAAAGAGAGCTGGGGTGGGGTAAGCATACATGCTCTTCCTGTGTGCCCTCCTGTACCTTTTGGATTTTATCCTATCGACCTGTATTACCATTTGAAAATAGTAATTACAAAATGAATTCTTCATTTGAAAACTGCAGGAAGGGGGTTTTTAAAGTCAAGCCTGGCTTCCTAGTTTTTTGGGTGGGATTCTCAATTAAGAGGTGGTCACACGCAGGTAGCCTGCCCCAGGGGCAGGTAAAGACTTATAAATGCTGCGATACACGAAGCTAAATTCATAACTACACTGTGTTGTCCCGAACAACAGTAGTGATAGTTACTTGAAACATTCCTCGTAGGCCAGTGATGGCGAACCTATGACACACAAACTCATTTTTTTGGTTGATTTTTCTTTGTTAAATGGCATTTAAATATATAAAATAAATATCAAAAATATAAATCTTTGTTTTACTATGGTTGCAAATATCAAAAAAATTCTATGTGTGACACGGCACCAGAGTTAAGTTAGGGTTTTTCAGAATGTTGGCACACGGAGCTCAAAAGGTTCGCCATCACTATCCTAGGCTCAGGCCAGAGAGAAAGTCTGGACTTTGATGTGAGGGTGCTGACCCTTTTTCTAGAATTCCTTCCCTAAAAAGATGCTTAAATTGTGTTGGAAGGAGATGGGACTGGGGGGCGGGGGTGTCATCCCACTTCCTCTCCTGGCGGCCTGCGGACCCAGGGCCTCTGCTCTGGGGCCATCCCCCTGCTCTTAGGCCGTCCCCCTGCTGAGAGGCTCTGCTGTGCTTGTGGTTGCAGTTCATCCAGTGGAACATCCACAAGAGTGGCCTGAAGGTGTCCGAGTTCGGGCTCCCCGCCGACGCCACGGGCCCCTTCGTGCTGTCGGGTTACAGCGGCTACAAGCAGGTTCAGGCTCCCCGGGGCCGGCTCTTCGCTTTTGACTCCGAGGGAAATTACATGCTGACGTGTTCTGCCACTGGAGGCATCATCTACAAGGTACCTGGGGTGTGGTGGTGGGGAGGGAGCTTCCTCCGGAGGGCTGGGTGTGGGCCTCTTCCCCGCCCCTGCCCCGTGTGGCCAGTGCCGAAGGCCCCTTGCTGCAGGACTGAGTCAGCAGAGCGTGGGCAGAGGCGACAGCCTCCTCCTCTGCTGGCCCATCCGCTGTGCTTTGACGAGACCCTGCCCCTTCTCTGCCTCCCTTCCTTTTCTATAATAATACCTTTTATAAAAACTGTTAAGAAATGGGAGAAGGGTTGGGAAGCGTGTTGGTTTGGAGCAACACGCCCCAGACAGGTAAGTGCTTACGTGGTCTGTCTGAGTTACTCTAACTGGGCATAGACTTACTGTTGTATTGGAAGTTCCATGGGTCAAGGGCATGACAACCCATGGCTCAGACAGACCTGGCTGGGATTTGTCAAACCGTGAGGGAAGTTGTCCACTTTGTTTTGTCCGAGCTTCTCCGGTTCATGTACCTCTTTCTGTATAATTGTATAAGTTACAAATGTCCCCTGTTTTACTGGTATTATCAAATAGACAAGTGGTGAGGATTTGTGTTGTAGCCTAAGCGCATGTTTCTGGAACCAGGTGCCTTCCGTTCACAGCCTCCGTGTTAACCTTTGCCTGATGGTGGTGCTCACTCTGTAGGTGTGAAGGGCCCCAAGGTGGAATGTCCTCTGCTTGGGGGCTGTCCATGCCCTCCTTGCCAGGGCTCACCAGTCAGCAGACAGCATGATTTGGACAGTAGCTGTGTGGGGCCGCTGGCCGAGGCCTGACCTGCACACAGGGCACAGAAGATCTGGTCCTGCTCCCCTCGCCCTCACACGCACTTTAGAAAGAGCCACGAGCCCCAGCAGGGGGCAGTTCAGTGTTAGGGTTCTGAGAGGTGCGGGGGATCTGGGTCCTCAGGGAAGATCCTAGGAGGCAGTCTGTGGATCTGAGGCTATGGAGCAGGAGGAGGAGGAGGAGGAGGAGGAGGAGTTGGGAGGACAGGGATGCAGGCCTTGGTGAAGTGAGAGGAAGGATTAGTTTGGCTCCTCTTTTCCAAATTGTGATGCGTTGGGTGGCCTTGGCCCTCATTAGTGCCATAATTTCTGGTACTTGCTATTGGGAAATACTGTAAAGCTTTCTGTTTATAAGCCTAATTTTACTTTATTTTTTTTAAAATTGAGTTTCAGGTAGGCCATTCTCTGCTCTCTGTATGATTTTTATTTGTTGTATGTATGCTATGTGTATGTATATGTATTTTATTTTAAATCATGTGCCTTTGTCATTTGTCCTGATCAGTTTATATGCTTTGCAGTCAGATTTGCTCTATAACCAATTAATGAGTTAAAAGATTTTCCTCTGTATAATTTTTAAAATACCAATGGGGTCTAATTACTTAATGAATATAATAAACTTCAGATCCCATTTTTACAATTCGTGACTTTTAAAGATGTTTTCTCGTCCTGGCTGGTTTGGCTCAGTAGATAGAGCGTTGGCCTGTGGACTGAAGGATCCCAGGTTCGATTCTGGTCAAGGGCACATGCCCAGGTGCGGGCTCCATCCCCAGTAGGGACGTGCAGGAGGCAGCCTATCAATGATCTCTCATCATTGACGTTTTTATCTCTCTTCCTCTCCCTTCCTCTCTGAAATCAATAAAGTTTTCTCCACGAAGGTCGTATACTTCTTGTTCCCAGGTGGTATCTGTGGCCGCATTGATCATTATTCAGCTGGCCCTGGTTTCCCTTCCTTACTGCCTCTAACTCCTCACACCTGCACGAGTCCTGGCTGGTGCTGTGGGGTCGAGGGGAGCTGAGCTTGTACATTGATGAGGGCCTGCTGGTGCCAGCTCTGTCGGGTACTGCAGGAGCTCACCACAACCCACCCTCCTGCAGCTGGGATCCCTGGGGGAGCAGACATGAAACAAAGAATGGGAGCGGGGATGATGCTGGGAGAGAGCGGCCCAGGCGGTGCAGGGGCACTGGCCCCCAGCAAGTTAAAGGCAGCAGAGAAAGTTCCCTGCCTTTTCGAGTGTTTCAGGGACTTGTTTTTCACTTCAAATGAAGGAATAACTGTAGTCAGAACAATGAAGGTATTTTCTTGTCTAAGAAATTAAACAGGAAGGGTGGGCGTGGCAGCCCCAGGCTCGAGGTGGTTGGTGGAGAACATGGATGATTTGTGCACGGCGTCTGCTCACACCTCCTCCTCTCCCCTGCCCTCTTACAGCTGGGCGGGGACGAGAAGGTTCTGGAGAGCTGCTTGAGCCTGGGTGGCCACCGAGCCCCCGTGGTCACCGTGGACTGGAGCACGGCGATGGACTGCGGGACCTGCCTCACTGCCTCCATGGATGGCAAGATCAAGCTGACCACCCTCCTGGCCCATAAAGCCTGAGGGCACCCGCCCGAGGAACTTGCACGGAAGCCGTATCATCCCCGGGGGAGAGGAGACAGGAGACAGGAAGACGGGATGCTCCATTTCCGGCTCCCTGCCAGGGCGGGGAATCTTCAGGGAAAGGCTCTTTGGGGGCTCGGACGGACGCTGTGCAGCCTGGTGACTGGAGCAGGAGCCACCTGGAGGAGTGGCGCGTGTGCCCCGGAGACCGGCTTGCCGGGCGGGGCCCGAAGCACCCAGACGGCGGGAGAAGGCTCAGGCATTCAGACACTGCAGGTGAAGCACTGTGATGGCGGCCCTGTTGGCCAGGAGAGATGGACAGTATTTTGTATACATTTGCTCAGTTTCTTCTTTTTTTAAAAAAGAATGCTCTTGGGTTACCTGGTGTCCGTTTCTGGAGTGTGTGTGTGCAGCAGGGCGCCTCCCTTCACCTTTGCCCCGCAACAGGTCTCCCACCCCAGCTCTGCCTCCCGGCTGTGGAGCTGAGTCTGTGCGATGTTAGCTTGTTGCTTTGCTGTAGGAAGATGTCCTCTCTTCCGTTCCACTAGCTAAGGTTTGTGCTGTTCCTATTTCTTTGGGCCACAGACAAGGAATCCACAGCATTCCTGTCTCCCTGAGAGTTGGCGGCTTCTGTTACAGAAGCTTCTATGCACACCGGCAGAGTCTGAGGCTTCTGCTCCTGGCTGCCCTCTACCTGGTGGCTGTGGTTTCCCAGCACCTGTCATTAGTCCTCATTTAGCTTCATATCATTGAGGTTGTCTGGAGCCAGCCGCCGGCGCCCTCTGCTGGCGAGAGGACTGGATCAAGTTGGCCAAGTTCATCCTCGCTGTGTCCACAGCCCCGCCTGTGCCCTGCCTTCTGCTCCCTGCTCAAGGGTGGGACCTTGAAGAGTCCAGTGTTCTCACAGGTGAGGAAGAACGAGAGAAGGGCTCCCTTCTCCCACTTCCATTTCTATCTGCAGGGAGGCACGGTCAGCTGATCAGCCTCGTGGTAGGATTTCTTGATGGGCAGCCTTGTTGCCAAGCTGCTAGGAGTGGTCACTGTAGAGCCACTTTGGGCTCCAGCCCAGTCATGGGGTGCTGGTCTGGAGTAGGGGTACTCCCAGTTTCCTGCTTTTGGAAAACCATGAGTAAATTGGTATGAAAGCCTTGGCTCCATTCTGCTGGGAGTTTGGGGGAAAGCAGGGAGGTATGTGGCTCAGTTCTGAGAAAACACCAGAGACTTGGTAATAAGTAGTTACACCTTTTTACCGATTTCTATCCTGGTAAGCCTTCCTTCAAATGAAGAAAACCAAAACTTTTCCATGTGTAATTTTTCCCATCCTCTGCATTGAAACAGCAATCTTATTTATCTCCCACAGTGATTCTTCAGGTCGAGCATGTCAAACTCTCGGCCCGAGGGCCGCATGCCTCATTTATTTGGTCCGTGTTAGCCTTTGAGTTTGACATGCTTGCTTTTTAGGCTCCATTTTCCGGCTAATGAAAAGAAAATAGGATTCTATGGAGTCTCCTACTTACCTACTCCAAAACTTCTGTGAGGATCAAATGAGATGAGGCATGGGAAAACGCTTCACAGACATTTGGTTAAACTGTAAAATGTTTCCACCTGGCTGTAAAGCAAGTCGTGTTCCTGGGCTGAAGAAACTCCAAGGAGGCTAGTCACTAGGGAGAGGAAGCCAGGCGTTGCTACGTGACGTCATTACCCAGCGCCCACAGCGACTGTTTCCAGGCTGGGCTGTGGGCTGCATTTAGTGCCATGGGGTCTTGGCAGCACTGGCTGTGATTTGGTGGGGTGTCGCTCCGGGGGGGTGGCGGGGCCTGTGTCCCACTTGGAGGAAGCCGAGTGTTGGTTTGTGGGCGCCAGGTCTGCGGTGCTGTTTCTGTGTAAATGGCCAGTGCATGTCATGGCAGCTCCTGGGTTGAACGTCTGCCCCCTGGTGGTTAGTGTGCATCATAGCTACTGGTTGGACAGACACTTAGCCTTTTGTATATATAGACTAGCTGATTTGTGGTAAATCACATTTCCCTCCCTCCCCCTAATTTCTGATTCAAGGGGATTGGGAATCCACACTTTAACAAAGACCAACCAGCAAAACTCAAATGGAGCCACATTTGGGGACTGTTAAAACATTCTGTTAAACAAAAAAAAATTGACACTTGGTAGGGAACAGTAAGGCAAACTTTTCAAGGGGGGCTACTATAGTGGGGTTCTGTGGTGGGGGAGAGATTGGGCTCAACTCCCAATGCCATAGAGAAAAGTGGGAATTTATAGCCAAGGAGCAGGTTGGGGGTCAGTGGATGGGAAGTTACTAGGAGGAGGTAAGGGTGGATTCTGGCTCAACCGACCTAAACTGACCTAACAGGACTCTTGCCCAGGGCAATCTGGGTGATCAGAACCACCCCGGGGCCGGACGTGGAGGATCAGGAACCTCATCGGAGTCTAGGCCCTGGAGATCAGATATCGAGGGTAGGGGCCTCTGGCTAAAACCGGACAATGTGGAGATGAACACAGAAGCCCAAAGTCGGGGCCTAGCGGAGAAGAGTTCAGAGGAGCCGGATTAGGTTTGGGCAGGGAGG